GGGAAGAGCATCCCTGCTCAAGGCTGCAAGTCTACATGTGACAGGAGACCGCCTCAGGAAAAAAAAAAGGGGGGGGGGCGTGCTTCAAGAAAAAGAAAGCAGCACAGGATGGGGAAGCACCTAAGCTCGGAGGCGAGCCGATCTTAAAGAAATGCTTAGCAAGATCCCTGTCACAGAGCAGGCGTTGGATGGGGGCCAGTGATTAACACCGCGACTGTTATTACAATAGCACTTCCCTGTGCTCCGAGATCGTTCTTTTCCTAACCCATTTTTACGTGTTCGAGCAACTCTAGAATAGAAAAATGCGTTTCCAAACATTTTAAAGATATCCAATCCCAACTGCCAAGGCCTCGAAAGCCCAGAGTTCTGGAGCTGACCGTGCCACTTGTCAGTCCCGTGACCTTGGACACGGCCTTTCCACTCTCCGTGCCTCAGTTTCCTTGGCTATACAGTGGGGCTTTCCCGCAGGGTGGTCATGAGGGTCCCAGGAGAACGGGGGCCTCAGTGGCTTTGGGACCGCACGCGCCGAAGGCGAACCCAGGCCCCTCTGCCAAAACTCCCTGGGCCGAGAGGCGGCCGCGGTCAGGTTTGCTCAGCGCGAGGGCTGCGGGCCAGGACGCGGGTGTCGCCCGCCCGGGTCCCTGCGTCTGGAGCCGGGCTCGACCCCAGCCGGGCTGGGCGCGGAGAGGGACGGAGGGAGGCCGGGCTGAGCCCGAAGGCAGCAGGCAGCGCGAACCCCAGGCCGGCCACATGGCCGTAGGCCCGCAGCGCAGAGGGCAGCCCCTAGTGCAGCACCGCGAGCCCTCCGCTCTGCCCAGCTGAGGCGCTCACTCACCTGAGGTGCGAGCGCGGGCCGTCAGTCTGGAGAAGCCGCAGGAGCAGCGGCAGCAACCGGGGGCGGAGGGAAGCGATTCGCCGCGCGTGCGCGCTGAGGATGCCGGAGCTGCGCATGCGCAACACGCCTGCTTTCCTTGAAAACTACAAAAAAGATGGTGGCCAGGCCAGGAGAGCCTAGCGGCGCCATCTTGCATGTAGTTTTTCTTGCTGAGTTATCTTGGAGGTCTCAGAACGTGAAGGGCTCAATCGGCTGATCCGCCCCCATTCTTGATTAAATTATTAGGAAGCCCCTAAGAGCCATGACAGCCGTGTTTTAACGAGGCTTAAAGCCACACGCAAGCACCTGCCATATAGCACAGGCTTGGCACATGGAAAGGGTTCGGTAAGTTTTTGGTGAAGGAACACATAACTCCCAAACTAGAATTCGAGACCCAGGGTCCAAATTCCTAGTCCTCCTTCACGTCTCTCAAAACTGGTTCCGTTCTCAGCACCCACATGGCGGTTTACAATCTGTAACTTCAGTTTCAGGGTATCTATCGCCCTCTTCTGTCCTCTACGGGCATTGCACAAACTTGTGCAACCATATACATGCAAGTAAAGCATTCATACACATAAAAAGCCATACCACTTGCTTTTGTGAGCCTAACAACTAGAGATGGATTCCTCCCCCACCTAAAATGATTGTACATTAAGCTTAATGACTCAACTTAAAATTTTTATGAGTACTTTGCCTGCATGTATGTATGTGTACCAAGTGCATGCAATGCCCAGAAAAAACAGAAGAGGGTACTGGATGCCCTGGAACTGGAGTTAAGGAATGTTGTTAGCTGCCATATGGGTGCTAGGAACCAAACCCAGGTCCTCTGAAAGAACAGCCAGAGCTCTTAACTGCTGAGCCATCATCTCTCCAGCCCCATGATTCAACTTTTTCTTTTTCTTTTTTTGTCTTTTTGAAGCAGGGTCTCCCTGTAGCCCCAGCTGTCCTGGAACTCACTATGTAGACC